ATGAGCGAACTCGGAGACTAAAGGAACGTTTTAAATAAACAACTTTAAACTGCGGCTACAGCCAATTTTAATTGCTCGATAAGAATGGCTGCGGATTAAATGCACCAATACTCTTGGTAGTTTCGGGAAGAGAAAGAACGGAGCTGTGGAAACCCAGCGCCTATGAACTGGGACTTAGTCGGTACCGAAGCTTTTCAGTTTTTAGATTTTCTTTTCGAGTCTGGGCTTCTGGATGGGACTGAGATTAAGTTCTCGAGCTCTTTGGCCTGACTCCGGGCTGCGCGCCAATCTCAACCAAAGAAACCAGTGAGCTTTCCTAAAGGGCGCTTTTCTGGGGGTTGTGAGCAGGGATCGGGGGGAGGGGGTGTCGTTTCTTCTTACGGAATCAAGAGGAGGGGTAAAGGACCGCAAAGGTTCCTCGCCTTAGCCCCCATTTCCACGTCCGCAGGGGAGGCTGTTGGGCGCGGACCCTGCTCTGGGGCGGGCTGCCGCGGGCATCTTTGCCGGCGGAAGATGACGGGCGCTGTCCCGGACTTCTCTCCCCGTTTTCTGCAGGAAGAACCGCGTCTCGGCTCCACTCCACTGGCCATGCTTGCCGCTACCTGCAACAAGATCGGCAGTCCCAGCCCATCGCCGTCTGTCCTGTCCGACAGTACCTCATCTTTCGGCAAAGGCTTCCATCCGTGGAAACGTTCGTCATCTTCGGGAAGCTGCAACGTGGTGGGCTCCACTCTAAGTGGCGTCGGAGTCTCGGCCTCGACCCGTAACGGTTCTTCAGCTCACGCCGCGGCTGCGGCCGCGGCCGCGGCTGCGGCGGCCGCCCTAGTCTCGGACTCTTTCAGCTGCGCCGGCTCGCCTGGATCCAGCGCCTTCTCACTCACGTCGAGCGGCGCGGCGGCCGGCTCGCCCTTTGCCAACGACTACTCGGTATTCCAGGCGCCCGGGCCGTCGGGAGGTGGTGGCGGCGGCGGCGGCGGCGGCGGCGGGGCAGCTCCTGACACAGCTGCCGCTCATCAGCCGGTATTCATCTCCAAGGTGCACACCTCGGTGGAGGGTCTGCAGGGCATCTACCCGCGCGTGGGCATGGCGCACCCCTACGAATCCTGGTTCAAGCCGTCGCACCCGAGCGACGCGGGCGCCTCCAGCTGGTGGGACGTGGGCGCCGGCTGGCTGGACGTGCAGAACCCCAACGGCGTCCACCCGGCCGCTGCCGCGGCCAGCGGTCTCCAGGCGGGTTCCCTACATTCGCCACTGGGCGCCTACAACTCGGATTATTCTGGCCTGGCGGGCCACTCGGCCTTCAGCAGCAGCGCCGCCTCCTCACACCTCCTCAGCCCAGCCGGGCAGCATCTCATGGACGGATTTAAGCCGGTGCTGCCGGGCTCATACCCGGACGCGGCCCCCTCGCCACTGACGTCCGGAGCCGGAGCCTCCATGCTGGGCGCCGGACCCTCCGCGCCACTAGGCGGCTCCCCGCGCTCTTCGGCCCGTCGCTACTCGGGCCGCGCCACTTGTGACTGCCCCAACTGCCAGGAGGCGGAGCGGTTGGGCCCGGCGGGTGCCAGCCTGAGGCGCAAGGGCTTGCACAGCTGCCACATCCCCGGCTGCGGCAAGGTCTACGGCAAGACGTCGCACCTCAAGGCGCACCTGCGCTGGCACACGGGCGAGCGGCCCTTCGTCTGCAACTGGCTCTTCTGCGGCAAGCGCTTCACGCGCTCGGACGAGCTGCAGCGCCACCTGCGCACGCACACGGGCGAGAAGCGCTTCGCCTGTCCGGTGTGCAACAAGCGCTTCATGCGCAGCGACCACCTCAGCAAGCACGTCAAGACTCACAGCGGCGGCGGGAGCGGCGGCGGCGGGAGCGGGAGCGGCGGCGGCTCGGGGGGCGGCAAGAAGGGCAGCGACACCGACAGCGAGCACAGCGCTCCCGGCAGCCCGCCCTGCCACTCACCGGAGCTGCTCCAGACCCCCGAGACGGGCCACCGGAATGGCCTGGAGTGAAATCCCCCGAGTGAGCCGGCGGAGCCCAGGCGGGAGGAGGACCTGGCTTTGCTCTTCCCGGCTGTCGTCTCTCTCCTCCCCCTCTTCGCCCTCTGTCTCTCCTTCTCCCTTTCTTGTTCGGATCCACCGCGTTTTCAGCCCTCCTATTTCATAGCCTCCCGCCCGCTGGGCCAAACGGGATCTGGACGTCAAAGTAACGCGCTCCAGCCAACGCGGACTCGCAGCCAGATCCCTGCCCAGAAAAGGGACTTCGGTTGCCGAGCGGCTGCTCCAGAGACACCCGCGCTGGAGGGGAAGAGGTTTGGGGCGCTCTAAGCAGTGGGGGGGGGGGGGGGGGGGGATTGAGCTCTCGGCAAGGACCAGGGCCTCTCTCAGAAGGAGAGGCGGCTATCCAGGGGAGTAGGGAAAGGGAGAGGGTGAAGAGCCCAAGACCTCCCGCTGAAAGCACTTTGAATATTGTGAGATGCTTTTAATTAATATTATTATTATTTCAAAGAATTGCTCCAAACGTTAAATTTCTATTCAGTTTTGCTCCGAAACTACAGCGCTCACTCGCTTTCTCTGGAATGTTGCAACTAATAGGGTTACTCTGGAGGACGTAGGTGAAGCCTAAAAAGTGTGCGTGTGTCGAAGTGAGAGTGTGAATGTAGGCGCGATCGCCTAGCGCCCCATTTGCAATTCAGTTCTGTCAAAGAGGATCCCGCCTTGGTAGATATTACAAAATAAGCTGGGCTAGTCTTTTCTTTCGGATGTCTTTTCTGTTTAGCACTTCCAAGTATTCTGTGCTTCAGCGAGTAACTCAAAATAACTAAGATTCTGGTCTTAGTTGGAGGTTATCTTTTATTTCGGCTTTTAAAAAAGAAAAAAAAGTTCTAATGAACAGATCAGTAACTTTCAAGTAAATGGGCGCTTAAAGATGCCATTGACCTGAGGGGGAAAAAAATCAGATTTAGGAACCATTAAAGAAAAATTCCCTTGTTTTAATTAACCCGGCATATAGCTATAGAGCCTTCACTCAGAAATTAGTGAGGCTGGGTTTCATAGACTTAAGTACAAAATTGTTTTCATAGACATGTTTTTTTAAATTACTCTTCAATGCCATTTACTCAGAATTAAAGCAAACCGAATTAAAGTTCCAAAGTTAAACAGACAGTGACGATCCTTTCTAAGTATCTCTAGGATTGCATAGTAAATTGCCTTAAAATACTATCCTTTGCATGCTTTCCTAGGGATAAATTCCATTCAGCATAAAGATATTTATTTTTGGCTAATATTCGTAAAGTTGGGCTGCACCCATTCCAGTCAGTTAATTTATACCTCTATCAGCCCAACTAGTTTAAAAAGTTTTGAATTGGGCTATCAATTCGAGTTTTCTGCTGTAATCAAGCATTGCTTAATTTTTGGTTAAAACTGACCCTTCAAAATGCTTCCTGGAAAAAGTGTAATCAATTGGTGCAGTTCAACCACTTTAATTACATGTAAACTTTATAATTGTTGAAAGTTCTGACACAGTAAAAGTCAGTCCCATTGATTTCAATGAGATGTTAAAATCCATTTCTGATATTTTCTTTCTCAATGAGATCAGTATGACTCAAAATAGTTGTTTGACTGGCTAATACCCATTCGTTAAATATAAGGGACTTCCAATTTCCCCTATTATTCTTTTAGAAGTTAGAGAACAATAATATAATTAAATTATTTCAATCTAGATAAGTTTCTTCCCCATTCTTAAAAAAAAAAAAAAATACCAGCACCCCTGCTTGGTTTCCAGAGTGCACCAATTCATGTGATGCTTTGAAAACACCAAGGATACAATTTATTCTAATTCATAGCATAATTTTTCTGACAATAAGAAATATGAAAGCAATCTGACTTTTTTTTGCAAGTCTATAGTTTATTAAGAAGAAAAAAAAACCCAGCCAACCAAACAAAAACAGAAGAGCATAAAAACAAATATTGGTAAAATAGTTCAAAACCTAATGACTTCTACAACAGAAATCGTTGTAAAATAGCTAACAATTTAATATAATTCCACCACTGTATTGGTGTGAGGCGCAGTTGTCCAGGGGACGATTTGTACAGTATTTTTCTTGTATATTACTTCCAGTAAATATTTGAAAATATATCAAAGTACACTTGAGCTTTCTTTCTTTTTTTAAAAAAAAACATTTTCGTTGTCATAAAATATTAAATCATTATTGTTGCAGTCTTAATAAACTGCTTTTTTTAAAAAAAAAATGTCATTTGAAGTGTACAGAAAATTGCACTTCAGAATATAGTTTTGCTTGAATATTAATTTAGTTAGACATAAGACTGTAATTAAACAAAAAAGATTGGATAAATGTTGAATGCCATTTCATTTAATGGAGCATGTACTTTTTTGCATTTTCTGACAGTTCAGGTATAGTTTAAGTGATAATTCTCCTATATTTCACTCAGTGGGTTTATCTAGACCCATATATTAAATACACTGTCCAAATGATGCAGACAAATAATGGCCTGTGCTTTTCCCTGAAAATAAATATGGTGAATGTTAATAACACACTCTTGATGTTACCTAAACAACACAATCCTATGCATATTTTCTTGGAAATTCTACTGTCTTCAGTAGGTCTTATTCCTAAATATGGATAGGATTATTGCCTGCAAGTTTGCAAACTCTGCAAACAAATTGTCTCATTGTAATGTTGAAATAAGTTTGGATATTTCACATTGAAATGAAAAGAATGAAAGAAACAAAGGAAGAAAGAAAAAGCCTTTCTCTGGAATACTTTAAAATTGCATTTTAAATGCATGAAATGTTATTGACTTTTATCTGTAAGATTTTAAATGGAATTAATAAACAGCACATAAAATATTTGTTGTTAGGGTTAGTTAATTTCTTTCTCAGGATAATAATGGGATATCTTCAAGACATTGCAATTTGTTTTCCCCTGGACTGGGATCCCTTTTGAAAATAACATATGAGACTCTGCACCCTTGCGCAGGCTTCCTGGGCAAGTCTTTCTAAAAGTAATAGGTAAATGTATGCTCAGGACAGAACCCCTATTAAACACAGCTGGATTTGCTTTGAGGTAAGAAGCTTTAGCAAGTAATGTAACAAACATTGTTCTTCCCCCCTCATTTCTGTTGAGTGTGTGAATATTGATAACAAACACTTTCACATTCAAATATTAGTTGGTTAATGATTCTCTGATCAACTGAAACAGTTAAATTTTAGGAATATTATTCAGTGATTGGCTCAATGTGTGCATGAAGTGCTCATTTTTATTATTTTACAAGTAGCTTGGCTTATAACGCATTTCTTCTTACAGACAATAAGTGAATGGGAAACAAAACTGGTATTATCCTATCACGCTTGAACAACTATTAAATATGTTGACCCCTGTTATTGATTCTTAATGCCAGCAGGATAAGAACAAATACATTCCTTGAAGCTACTTTTAGGATCAGGGGAAAAATAGCTTAAGGTTGAAAAGAATCAAGCAGGAATATTTGCTCCTCAATAGATCCAAGACTGAAGTTTGAAAGTTGTTGATTATTCCGATTCCTGGCTGTTCGTCACTCTAAAAAGGAAATCCTGTTTGGTTGAAATTGTAAAGAAAAGACCACAGAATCGGTAGTCGATGGGTACTTTTTAGAAAGTGCTGTTCGAATTCCGTCGCCATTCCCTCCCGGAGCAAACAAACCTTGGGGGCTGGGGAAATGCAAACTTGAGTTTGGGGAATTTGGGCGCCAGATTGTTTCATTTGATTTCGTTCATCTCATGGGTGCAATCCGGAGGGCTGGCATTTTGCGGTTTGGCCGGTGATTTCGTGTGGCATCTCCCTTTCCAACAGGAAGGCAAAAGTGAAAGTTAGGCTAGGATGTATATAGTAATTGGAAAAGTAACCAACAAAATGAGAGTCCTAGTCTTGTCGGGGAGCTGAGGGTTGCGAAATAGTCACAACTGTAAAAATATAGCTGCTGTTGTTTTTTTCTCCCGGATTTTGACGTCTTTGCAAGGCACACTTTGCGGTTCTTTTCCAGCCTCCATCTCTTCCAAGCAAAGAAAAAGTTCGCCAGCATCAAGGGCGCACCGGTGTTCCCCCCGCCCGCCACATTTTCGCTTTGACAAAGGCTGGCGCGCGCAAAGAGCTTGAAAGGGGAGAGTTGAAGTTGGAGGTCCGTCAGACGAGATAGCGTCTTTCTTCTCCACCTCCCTTCCTGGCAAGGTGGGCTTCGAGGCTGGGGGCGGGGATGGGTTTGTCTGCCCCACAGGAGGGCCCCGAGGTGATTCCAGCCTCCCGCCCCAGCTGAAAAGCTGAAGCTGCTTTTGGCTTGGTGCCCTGAGTGTGCGTGGCCTATTCTGCGCTACTAAGTGGAAATTGCGGAGGTGAGAGAGGTCTCGACCTTAGTGCAAAAAAAGAAAAGAAAGAAAAAGAGAAAGAAAAAAAAAGCCGCTTTCTGCAGGCTTTCGGATGCTTTCAGCCGAAATCCCTCCCAGCTAGAGAAAACTCAGCCGGGCTGTGGGAGGGAGGCAGCGGGCGGGCGGGGAGGCGGAGGCAGTCCGCCTTAGCTATTTGCTCTTTGACTTTGTAAATAGATCTTCTGCAAAGCTGCCTTGGGCGTCCTGCTCCAAGTTTAAGACAATGAGGAAGTGGGGCAGAACCAATACTTGGAATTAATACCTTAGGATCGCGCCAGCTCTGTCTCCACTTAGATGTTTCCAATTGGAGCTGGACTAGTCAAACTGGATTTATTTGGGGCCCATGGGGGGAAAAAAGAGAGAGAGGGTAGAGACTCGCATCCAATATCCCCTGTTCCTTTGCTTAGTTACATAACCCCGAAGAACGTGCATTTGACACTTTCTACCACAGACCATGCCTAACCCCCTGGTTTGAAGTGGTAGGATGTGACCCCCATTGACTGGTGGAGCTAAGCATTGCTGCAGTCTTGGCCAAATTTTAAAAGAAGGATCCTAAATCCTTCTTTTAAAACTGAGCTCCCTTGAATCCTGT